GTTTATTAAGTTTAGTTATAATGGCATTAATGGTTAAATGGCATTAAAAACATATGCTGTCAGGACTAGTTGATCATATAATTTACAGTGTAGGCTCAATTTTGGTAAATTTTCTTTAAAATATTATTTCAATGGAAATGTTACTTTTGAGGAAAGATCAGAACTCTTTATATTCTTTCTATCTGTAACGTCTCTGATTTAGAAGTATTTTAGTAGGCTATAATTTAAAATTTGATATCTGTATTTTTTTATTTAATTTTAGATAAAGTTTTAGTAGTTTTGTGTTTTATTATATGACCATAATGGTTTATTAATATAATTTATTTTAATAAAAATCATGCTGAAATAAAATAAATTCCATTTTGGTGTCTGCATCAGATACAAGTTACAAAATTCATTTTATATATAAAAAACATTTTCATAGAAATAAAATAAGCACATTCATTCTTAAGCACAAATTCAGCTAAAGAGTTTTTTTATTGGTCCAAATTGTATTTGGGGAAACTATAACAAGACATGGGTGAAATATAACTTAATTGTTATTCAGCATAACACATATTTACATAAAAATGAAGCCATACACTTACTGACTTGCTGTTAAATTATAATTTATGTATTTTTAAAAATTCAGTATTATAGCCTACATTAAATAACAAAAAACTTGCTGTCAAATAGATAAAATCTAGTTATCTGAGAGATTCCAAGAAGAAATAAAAAAAATAAATAAATAAACATATTTTTTAGACTCTTTAACTGCCTGCTCTACCAAATGGTTGACCATGTTTTGACTTACCATGGGATGATAACCGTGTTCAAGGTATACCGTGGTTTGGAAAAGTCAAGGTTTTGGAAACCGTCAAAATTTTCTGCTATATCGTTCCTAAAGTATGAATAAGATTTTTTATAAATTGTTTTGTTTTTGTTTTTTAGGACAACATTATCTCCAGCAGAGAAGATCCCAAAAGATGAAGACAGCAGAAGTCTATAATTCATTTAGCCTGACATATTTACTGTTTCAAAATATTTTAAACGTTTCCCAAATTAAAATAAATTGTGTACAAAGGGGAAAAAGTTTTTGATTTTTCCCAGACATTTAAAAAGAATATGTTTGAGAGCAGTAATCACAATATCGTGATACCGTGATATTTATATCCAAGGTTATCATACCATTAGAATCTCATACCAACCCATGCCTAAGTTTGACTGTTTTAAACAATGACTGTTAAAGTCGTTTAAAGAATTAATGTTTTAAATAGTGGTTTACACATCATTTTTGATATTCAAGAAAATCAAACAAACCTAATCCTGTTGCACTACACTTGACTTTGGTTTTACTGTAAAAAAAAAAAAGAAGAAGAAGAAAACATGTTAAATTAAATGGGAATCTAAAATATTTTATGGCATACTTAAAAAAAAAAGATGATTTAGTGTCCAAAAATGATTTATTTTAAATATTGTTTAAAAAATAAATTGATCTTACACTTCATATTTTCTGTTTTTCATAGTATATGTATTAATCTTAGTACTTTTTCCATAAACAGACATATCTACCATTTGGTAGAGGCTGCTATTTAAAAAATTATGGGATGCGTTGAAAAAAAATGCATTGAGTTAACTAGTGTTTAGTGTTAAATAGCAACATTAGCAGTAACCCGGCAAGCATTTTTTGTTTTTAAAAGATGTCTAATAGACCTTTTAACAGTAATCTTGGCTACAACAAGGCTAAACTTGGGCTGTCAGTAAAAATCTAATAGACGTCTACGAAAAGGCCAAAACTAGACTAGTTATCAAATAAACCAAAATGAATAACTACACATATAACGTCTGTCTATTTGACAACTAGTCTAGTTTTGGGCTATTCTTAGATGTCTATTAGATTTTCACTGACAGCCCAAGTTTAACCTTGTTTTAGCCAAGCTGTCTACGTTTAGATGTCTATTAGACATCTATTAAACAAATTGTTTGCTGGGAAGAAATGCACAAAAGTTCATTGTGGGGTGGTTAAAGGGTTCATTTTGGGCCAGCAGTGTGATCAATAAATATAATCTTATTATAATCATCAAATAATTCTTGTTATAAATATGCCTGATAAGATTTGATGGCATTTCCACTTTTGTTCCACTGAACAATAGTTAACATACACAATAACCTTGCTCTGATTCTGCTTGAGAATGTGAGTGAATCATCATAAGCTGACTCTGATGAGATTACTCCTTGATGGAATGATCTGAAATACTTTATTTCCTATATGTTTTCCAGTCAGCATTAAGACTGCATGAAAACTTTAAGGGCCCGTCTGAGTCCATGCACCTAATGTGTAGCTTAGCTTGTGGAAAATCCCCTGATTGGTTTATTGGATCAGTTAGTTAGAAAAGCCTGTCAGCATGTATGACACTTCAGGCAAAGACCAGAAGAGCCGTGACAGGATTTAACGCTCCCCAGGAACATCGGGGTCACGAGTCCACTCCATAGCCGTACAAGGCTCTTTCACAGCGTGCGTTTACGCTCTGATCACCATATGTAAGCACAAATAAAAGAGGAAGTGAGGGATGCACAAAGAGCACAAAACACCCACAGGATGCTGCCTTTCCTCCCGCAGCACAGGCCGGGGTTTGAAGGCTGGTCATGTGATGGAGGGAACGTGTTGGTGGTCTCACTCAATCCCCCCCCTTCCCTCTTTCACACTCTCCCCCATCGTCTCCACCCGTTCCCTCACCCCCAACCACAATGCAGCTCGACCTTCAGCCTAATTGGGCTGTGGGGAGGGAGGAGAGATGGAGCAAGGGGGGACTGGGATTGAGAGAGTGAGAGAGAGGCCTAGACTGTTGTGTTTTTAGGAAGATTCCCAAGACTCAGGAGGGCGGGATTGCTTGAAGACTCGGAGTAAAAAAGTGACAAAGGCCTTGGGTTATGAGATTGCAAACGATGAACATGGATACACACAGTGCTCAGCATCTCTCTCTCTCTCTCTCTATATATATATATATAAGACATTAATTGGAATCTATGCAATATTATATTTGTGCATATACATTAGATTAGTCAGTATTGAAGCCAAACCTAGAGATGATCTAACAAAATAACTTAAGATAATGGTCCAGAAACAAGTACACCCAAATTTATATGTTATAGAAAAATTTAAATACAAATTTAAAAAAGAGGAAAAATCAAGAGAAGCAAAATAATTGAAAAATAAAGTTGAAATTTTTAGGTTGTAATTTTGTTTTTGCAATATTTAGCTTGAATTTAATTGTATTATTTTTTTTAATTTCTAAAGATGTTTGGTGACTAAAATATTGCTTTAATACACATATCTGTTTAATAAATCTGTTTTGTTTAAATGCACCAAAATACACTGCCTATATTCACTGAGAAATGGATAAAATTTTCTAAATGGGGTGTACTCAATTATGCTGAGCACTGTTAAGTGATGGTAAAAAACTGAAAGCTACAACTGGTGTGTTATCAAGTAAAGAAAATGTAGGCAAAGTTGCAAATTGTTGTGTGGTTGGAAAAGGGGTTTGATGTATTAACGCCAGAGTGTACTGAGTGTAGTCACTGCAAAAAGAAGAAGCTCTAAATAAAATAACATGTTACCAGGAAAAATAAAAAAACAATTTAGTGCTTTACTTAAAAATGTGACATTAAAGATTTACATTAAAGGTGTACATTAAAGTCCACTACAGTTTTTAAGCATTATTTTTCCCTTTTTATTTTAAAATAAAATCCAAACTAATAAATGTAGTAAGAAAACACGTTTTTTTTTATTTCATATTTTTAAAGATTTATTTTGATTGAATATTAACTAAATAAAAAAGAGTTTTAAAATTATATATACAGCTAAAGTCTGTATTCTGTATTATTAGCCCCTGTTTATTTTCCCCTCAATATCTGTGATTTCAAGATTTTTTCAACACATTTCTAAACATAATAGTTTTAATAACTCATTTCTAATAACTGATTTATTTTATCTTTGCCATGATGACAGTAAATAATATTTGATATTTTTCAAGACACTTCTATAAAGCTTAAAGTGACATTTAAAGGCTTAACTAGGTAAATTAGGTTAACTAGGCAGGTTAGGGTAATTAGACAAGTTATTGTATAACGATGGTTTGTTTTGTAGACTATCGGAAAAAAACTTAGCTTAAAGGGGCTAATCATTTTGACGATAAAATGTTTTTTAAACAATTGAATACTGCTTTTATTCTAGCCGAAATAAAACAAGTAAGACTTTCTCCAGAAGAAAAAATATTATTAAACATATAGTGAAATATTCCTTGCTCTGTTAAACATAATTTGGGAAATATATAAAAAAAAAAAAAAAGAAAAAAAAATTAAAAAGGGGCTAATAATTCGGACTTTAACAGTATATTATAATTAGAGGAAGGGTTGTAAATGGGAAATGAAATTAGTATTGCAAAACTTCAGTTGCACTGAGAAGTTCTGCTTTCGTTTTTTCAGTCATTGCTTCTCAGATAGCTCTAACAAAATCATTTTACAAGGACTAGACGACTTTCCATCTCCACATCTAGAAATTACTATCCATTACAGTTCAAAGAGCCACAAAAACAAATTTATTGTAAATAAAAATCCCATGAATGAGCTATTTGTAAATTAACAACTTTGACTATTTAAATCCTGTTTTAATAAAGTTAGACCCTAATTTCTTCATCCCGCTCTGCTTTTGTGTTTACCACAGATGTTTGATGTGTAAAACCAAGATAACTTGAGATATTTTCATCCAGATGCATCTCTGTGCATTCAAAAAGGTAGAACGCATCTACCTGTCATCCCAGGATATTCAGGGACATTCACCCAAGCAAGGCTGCTCTCCTGAATGTCTGTCAACATCAGAAAACGTCAGCCAGAGCTGTGATGAAACTGGCAGAGTTAAGTGACCTTGGATGATTTGTACCGATGCTGAGATTGTCACATGACCAAACAGCAATGCCATTTAGGGTTTACACAGCTCACAAAAGAAAGACTGAAAAGATTTGTTTTGTTTTGATTTTTTTAGTTATATATAATATATATCCACACTCATACCACGGTTCACAAACTTCAAGATATTTAACAACAACACCACCAGAGCTTTGATTGGATGCTCAATCATAAACCCCGCCCCCCATACATTCATTCTTTCATTATTTGCAGATATACTAATGATCTATTTATTACAGACGTGAATAATTTACAATAAAATAACAATTTTCGTTATTCAATCTTTTATACTACAGTGATCGTACCCTGTTCGTCCTTCAGAGATGCGTCTCGTCTCAGCTCTGATAACAGAAAGGGCGTTGAATTCTTCTGGAAAACGGTAGAGGGGTTTGCTGCAGACGGCAAAACGTCTAGTCCGATAATGAAAGGGTCTCATCGATGCTCCGGAGCTTAATCCCAGGCAATCTTGAGCTCTTGAAAGGTTTTCAGTTAAACACGCACCTAAACATGGAAACCAGGACTACAACTTCAGTACCAGCACACACACACACACACACACACACACACATACAGAGAGAGGAGAAAAACTGCATATTAAGACATACAAACTCACAAACTGAGACTGCCTTCAAAACTCGTTTTGGGGAGCACCCTCACAGAAACCATTTAGAGAACAATGAACACAGGACTATTGGACTATTTAACGGTGTGACAGTGGTTTTCCTTTGATTTAGTCAGAACATGTTTAACCAAACAAATACAAAACGGTATAGACACCTGATCTTGGCAAATTCGTGATCTGTGTATGTAGCAAACTGTGTATACAAATCCGCGGTGTGGCTGAATAGTTTGCTAGCCTTTGGAAAGGAATCCCGATATAATATATTTGAATATTTGAGCCTTGGCAGACGCTACTATGTAGAAATCTCACATTTAGATCGCTCTTAAAACTGAGAATGTAAAGAATGTTGCCGTGAGTTCAGTTTTTGTTTTTTTTTCTTCTCTTTCTTTCACCCAGCAGCTTTCAGATTAGTTTGATAATCTGAACACAACTGTCCAGCTCCGAAAAAAAAGGTGTACAAGGAAAAAAAAGTGCCCCAAAAATATTGCCTCAGCAACCGTTTTCATCTCTCCTCCCCTCCATAATCTCTTGCTACATTCCTTCCCCGAGCTCTCTTGTGTGTCAAATTAGAGAAACTTTGATTTAGTGCAAAAAATCCTTGTTTTTTTTTCAAAAGTGAAACCTTTTTACAGTTGTGAGAGGCATCAAGTGTGCAGGTTGATGACATGGGAAAAAACAAAACAGCACCAATGAGACAAAAGGGCGATTTTCAAGGGTGATAATCTGAGCTCAAACTAATTTCAAAACAACAACAACAACAACGACAACAAAAAATAAAAAAGGACAAAAAAAAGAGAAGAAACCCCTTAGTGATCATTCCAAAACTTTTTTGTCAAGTGCTTCTTTGCCATTGGTCCGCGAGTAGGGCTCAAAGGCGGAGGAGCTCAGGTATCGGGCGGAAAGTTCCTGCAAGTTCCCTGCAAGGGATCCAGCCATGCCGAGCGGGGTGGAGGAAATACGTGAGGCGACCGACCCGAGCAGAGAGGGCATTGGGAAGCTGAACAGCCCGTGGGCAGGTGGGGATCCCTGCAGTCCCGTGACTGTCCCAGAGCTGGTCACGGTTGGCAGCGGTGGACTTCCTCCCGCTGTGCCCGAGCTGCCGGCACTGCTGCTGCTGCTGCTGGAGGAGCCTCCGTTAGCTGTGATCCCTAGCGATGGCCCACGCAGAGCTGAGCCCAGCGACGAGCTCCCGCAGTGGGGCAGCAGTCCTGGCAGGCCCGGTGGAGTGAGGAGACGGCCCTGCTCCAGGAGGCGCAGGACGCTGCAGGTGGCGGCCGTCTCAGAGACCACCGAGCGCAGCTCTGAATCCTTCCCCTGATCCTTCTTCTGCTTGGTGCGCCGGTTCTGGAACCACACCTTCACCTGACAGAGGATAAACAGAGAGAAATTAGGTTAGAAAAGATAAATAACACGAGGAATGATGTGAGCTAGCATAATGCTACTAATGTTAATTCCACACTGAATTTGGAACGAAAGAAAGAAAGAAAGAAAGAAAGAAAGAAAGAAAGAAAGAAAGAAAGAAAGAAAGATTGAAAGAAAGTTGGTGTTATAAAGTCATGCCAACTACATATTTTTACAGCAAGTATGGAACTTAAATGTTACTATAGTTGAAGGAAGAATTATTAGCCCCCTGAATTATTAGCCCCCCTGTTTATTTTTCCCCCCAATTTCTGTTAAACAGAGAGATTTTTGTCAGCACATTTCTAAACATAATAGTTTTAATAACGCATTTCTAATAACTGATTTATTTTATTTTTGCCATGATGACAGTAAATATATTTGACTGGATATTTTTCAAGACACTTATAATCAGCTAAGAGTGACATTTAAAGGCTTTACTAGGTTATTAGGTTAACTAGGCAGGTAAGGGTAATTAGGCAAGTTATTTTATAATGATGGTTTGTTCTGTAGATTATCGACAAAAATATACAGCATAAAAGAGCTAATATTTTTGACCTTAAAAGACTTTGACCTCAAAAAAAACTTTCTTTGGAAGAAAAAAATATTATCAGACAAACTGTGAAAATTTCATTGCTCTGTTAAACATCATTTGGGAAATATTTAAAAAAGAAAATAAATTCAAAAGGGGTTTAATAATTCAGATTTAAACCATAGATATCATTTAATAAGTGTTTAAACTGGTTAAGATTAAACACATTCTGGGATTTAAAAATATTTGAAAGTGTTTATTAAATAAAGGTTTATTAAATAATATAAATAAATATAGATAATATAATATAATATAATATAATATAACAATATAACATAAATGTACTAAATTTAGAGTATTAAATATGATATTTCTATCATAGCTAAATATGGTCAGATTGTATATGTTTAAGTTGAATCCAATGAAATCAGAGTTGCAATTTGATGTGTATTTTAGGGTGGTAAAAAAAAACACTATAAATGGGGAAAAGAATCCCTGTGCACATAAAAAGGGGAACTAAAATGTAAATGTTGTAAGTGACACTAATTTTAAAATGAAACAGCATAAATGTTACTATTAAAATGTAAATAATAATGTGTATATTCTTGAATAACACAGCAACATAACTTCCTTTTGCAAGGATGTCTGGATCAATACTGTTTTGAACCAAGTAATTGTACTGTATCCATTTAATTTAGGTTTACAAAGAAAGAGCAAACTGTAATTTCCAGACAACTCGTGTTTAGATCAAATTCCAATAGCAAAACAAAGTCCTATGACATACATTTAAACTCCATAGAGCAAATGAAGTCCGCCTTATATTCGCTGTATACTTCAAATGATCGATAACAGCTTCACAGGAATAAGAACAAAGGAGAATGACTAACATCACGGAATTGAGTCACACGGTTTAACCGTCACTCTTATAAACAGCTTAAATGCATGGCAACGGCAGAAATAATCTTTAAACACTGTGTATTAAAAAATAATTATGTATCAGTTAGTTATATAAGTGCATGCCTCAATGTTTATGAATGTTGTAATGGAATGCTAAATATTGAGTTTTCAGATTACTAAATCACTAAAATCCACATTTGTCATTTGTATTTATTTAATGTTTTGCGAAAACCATGAACCCAGAAGGTCAAGGAATTACCAGCAATTACGTTTTCTAAACACAATTCTTTCCCTCTCATTCTTGACGCATTTTTGCCTTTTAAAAAACAAACAAACAAACAAACCAAAAAACACACACACATTGCTGGTGCACTTTCACAAATGCATGACTTTCCACAGAACATTCTGTGTTTCCGAACACAATGTTAATTTCATGAAGCTGTCATTAAGGAGCACTTCACCCTCCTCATCAGGCGGCCAAGAAGAGACACGGGAAGCTTTAATGTAATCAAGGCATGGATTTGAACTGCGCTGCTGCACGGGGCATTAGAGAGGGCATTAGTGAAGCGAACTCTATTGTGCACCCTGTGTTAGCAGCACCGATCTGCCTCAGGGCTTTAAATGTCGTAATTTCGGTCCACAGGAGAGCAGAAGAATTTTAAAGTCGTTAGTGGGGCGATGATGTGATAGAATGTGACATAGTTCAAATGGCCAATAGAATTAGAAACATTGAGACGGCATTGTCGGTTTGCAGGTGTTCAGAGAGTTTAATTAGTGCATCCCTGACTGACAATACACATCACCCAGAAGAAATGAGTACACCCTAACAGATTAGTTTTTTAGAAAGATTGATTCTGAGATATTTGTGCAAATCTCGTTTATTGGTTTATTTTACATTAGATTAAATAAGACAGAACTAGAATTAATTTAACAAAATAACTTTAAGAAGCCCTGGTGCAAAAATTACAGCGCCCAGCAGAAATGAGTACACTCTAACATATTTGTTTTTTAGAAAGATTGATATTTGTGATGCTTTACACTGAGATATTTGTGCAAATCTAGTTTATAGGTTTATTTTACATTAGATGAAATAAGACAAAAATAGAACTAATTTAGAATTTAATTTAAAACTAGAACTGGTGCAAAAATGAGTGTATTTGCAAGGAGAACACTTAAATATTATTATTATTATTATTATAGAACAAAAAATCTGTTTATTAAATTTAGTTGATTGTTGTGTAGGTATTTTTTTTTGCATCATTTGAATGCATTTGAAATTTAATTTATAATTTCTATGTATAACAATGTATATATTTGTAGAATTTAATTGTATAATATATAATCCAATATTTAATATGCAGTGCATAATTGAATACAGCCCAATTTTGAAAATTAATTTTTGTATCCATTTCTCAGTAGTTATAGGCAATGTATTATGGTGCATTTGAACAAAACAGATTTATTAAATAAATATATTAATTAAAATAATATTTTAGTCAGTTATTTGAAAATTGAAAGATAATACAATTAAATGCAAGCAAAATATTGCAAAAATAAATTATAACCTACAAAATTTCACCTTTTTTGTTTTTTTTTTTTTACAAAGTTTTTGCTTCTCTTAATTTTTCCTCTTTATTAAAACCGTTATCATAAGTTATTTTATTATATAAGCTCCAGATTTGGCTTCAGTACTGACTAATCTAATGTATATGTAAACTCAAATATAATATTGTATAGCTTCCCATAAAAAATATTAATTTAAAAGAGAGATTTGTGAGGAGTGTACTATATATATATATATATATATATATATATGATTTGAAATTATTTTATTTAAAACTTAAAAAATGTGTTTATATGCAAATTATTTATATTTTTTTCCCCAAGACTTTTCTTATATTTTTAATGCATAATGTATACTTTTTCTAATCCTAAAATTGTTAAGTCACCATAGTCTAGTTTTAATAAATATACCTGTTTCGTTAAAACATTTGTTATAATATGTATAATATTGATAAATGTTGTACTCATGGTGTACTCGTTTATTCTGAGCAGTAGGTACTTTATATAATGAATATTTAATCTACAATTTGAGTAAATAAATTAACACAAATAAATAACTAAAGCCTTAAAATTGGTAAACACAGCAATGTAATTTTGATTTATCATTTTCCAGTGACTTATTTTCCCTAATAAAAGCAGTGCTTGGTCACGCAAGCATGTGATATAATGAACATGTTCACTGACGAATAAACAAATAAAAACATAGGATCCAAAATTAGCCTTACTACTGCAGTCAGAGTTTCCCCGCACTGCAGATTATCCAGGGAGACACGGAGGGAGAGGGAGAGAGAGAGCGAGAGGGATAAAAAGAGGTTGAGAGAGAGAGAGACAGAGTGCATGTACAGTTCAGTCATGTAATCTCAAGCTTGTGACCTCTTACTGACCCCTGTGCAAAGCATGTGCCGCAAATGCATCACTAGGCTTATTTTTGTAAAGCGGGCCTTTATGCCACTAACAGACCATCAAACTATTGCACTGCTGAAGAGGGCAGAAAAAGGGAATTGTCCAGAAACAACAAAATGCGATCAGATTGTTGATATTTTAGGTTGCCTTAGGGTGATCAAAATGCAAATAAATGAAATATTAATATCATGAAGTAAGTGCATTTTATTTTCAGGTAGCTCTGTGTGTTTTGGTAAAGAGCCTCCGCAATGCACTTCTTTATACATTGAATAATAATTATGCTAGTGCATCAGACATGAGTCACGTGGAAAGACATATTTGTGAGAGGCAAATTAATTATTTTGCAATTGTATGGCAGTGGCTGTCTTCAGTGGTCTTTATAATGTATTTGCAATAGTGTTTGTGTATCACTATTTGCATTCGAATGTGTACCTGAGTTTCAGACAGGTTAAGTTGCCGGGCAAGTTCAGTTCGTTCCCGTCCCACAACATACTGACACCGCTGAAACTCCATCTCCAGTCTGTATAGTTGCTCTGCTGTGAACGAGGTCCTAGTGCGCTTTGGTCGGTCTAGATCCAAACCCTTGGGGAGAATAATTTCTCGAATCGACCCTTTGGCATCTACATGTGAAGAGGAAAATGTGTTCAGAAAATTGTCATACCTGCTATAAGACTAATATTAAAATTACTTGAGATAAGCAGAATATGTTATAAGTTTTAAAAAATGCTAAAATGCTTTTTCTTTTGAGAAATTAATATTGGTAGTCATGCAAATCGTATTAAACATTGCACAATTTCGATTGCTAAATAACCAAAGCATTTGATGTTTTTATTAAATAAACCCTTGTCCTGCCTGAATGCTGTTTTTGTTGTTGCAATATAAATGCCAAACAAATGCTGATTAGAACAATATTATTTTATTAACAAACAAAATTACATACTCTTACAAAAAATCTGTAAGCAGAAAAATGCTAAATTAAATTAAAGTTCAAAGCAATTTTAAATAAATTTGAAAAATGGCATAAATCACAAATAAATAAAAATACTGTCATATAAATAGAAAAACTATTTTCTATTTTAGCTGTAAAATTTATAATCGTTCTGCTGTCAAAACAGATTAAGTAATAATAAAATTGTTAATAGTAAAATAAGTTTTTAATGACGTACATGAATGCAAATAGGAAGAGAAATGCGTTGTTTAAAACAGATATAAAATATTTTAAAACATTCATCAAACACATTAGCTGGTGTGTTTTTGTATGTGTGTGTATCTCTGTGGAGAATGTGCTCTGGTGTGCTTAACCCTAAAAATATATATATAAATCTTTAAATATTATTTACGAATTGTGACAACTGTAAAATTACTATTAAAAACACAGTGGTTTATTTAATTATTCAACTTGAAAATAAAAAAGACTGCATTAGCTGTTAAATTTTAACAGATGAAATTACACAATAATTTCATAAGGTTAATTTCCTCATATTTCAATAGGCCTCTGAGACTGACCTAGATTTAGCTTCACAACCTAAATAAATTAATGGATCTGATTGCTCTCCAGAATTTCACAATCAGCTGACACCAGCAGGAGGGGCTTCACAAATATTCACAATTTAACACAAATATAGACAAACTGCTTTTAGCCAATTGATCGCATTATAATAGCTAGAGCTTAAATAATTACAGCTTCTCTGTAAACGTATTGTGAAAAATGATAAATCTACAAATAAACTGCTTTGTGGGCTCCACAATATAAATGAAAATTGTGACTAAGTAAATGTAAGATGTAGTAAAATAAATTTAGATATATAAAAATGGAGCAAATATAAATAAGAATGAGAGATTATAAAGCAGAATAACTCCAAAAATAATAAACAACATCCAAATAAATGTACATTATCGTTATGGACAATAGTAAAGTATTGCTTACATAGCTAAAATTTTTAAAAACAACCATAATCATGCAAAAGTAATTTCAATCATTTTTAATTATTAGATTTTAGCATTTATGTAAAACATTTATAATTTTAATGCACAGCTGAAATTAGTCTAAATAGCATTTACAATTATCATTAACCAAAAGGTAGCACAAATTTTTATTTTAATTATCAAGCCATTAACTGCACCATTACAGTGAGCAAAATTAAAGTATTATTTTTTTCAACAATATTCATACTTTTTTCTGTTATCAGCTTAGTTTGTATCAATTTGCATCATCTACACTTGTGCACACTCAAATCTATACACACTTGCCGATGGAGGAAAAATAATAAAAATCCAGCGACTAAAACTGACACAAAAAGCAAAATGAAAAGTTCTTGTTATATCGATTTCTTGTTTATTTTATTAGTATTTTTTGAGGGATGGGAGCAAAATGTGCAGAAAGCTCCCAGGAGTGTTTTTAAACTCACCCCGAACTAGAATCCTCCGGCAGTAGTCAGGATCTCCTGAGCTCGCCCGGCTCTTTTCACAGTTTTCCACCGCTCCGGATGGAGAGAAGGACTCCTGCTGGTCCTTCAGGAACGTTTTTGAAATGCTCCCCTGGGAATCCTTTCCCTCTTTCCCCTCTTTTAGTCCATTCTTCAGCAGCATTCCGGACTCTGAGTCTTGACTGTAGCGGACTTCCATAGTCTCGTATCCTCTGCGAAGAGTTCTCCTTCTTTTTCTCCTTGTTGGGCAGAAATAACTGTTTGGGGACGGACACACACTGCTTATTGTGGGTAATATAGGTTTGGTCTTTCTATAAAACAGCAGCTTGGAATCAGAGTCAGATAGCTAATGTGCCACCAGCACTTGCCCAGTCCACTGATCTGCCCTATTATCTCTGTGCAGACTCACTTGCCCAATGATCATAGACTTCTCACCCAAATTCAACAGCAATTTAACAGCTCCTCTCCTTGCAACATTCACATCAGGCTGATCTCCGGGTAATCAGAACTGTGGACGGACGCATGCTCGCCGCTTCAATTGATTACGGTAATTTTGCTGCCTCCACATTTGCGTAACCTCATGAATACTCTAAACTGTTTGGGAAATACACATTGTCCTGATAGAGGGGTCCGCTCACTCCGACCCCTCTCTCCGCCCTCGTTCGCACAGGATCAAGGGAGATGATTTGCCTCGAATCGTCACCACGCACAATCACAGCGCCAAAGGACCGCCAGAAAAGTTCCACTTCATTCCTCGATGCCCCGGCACTGGCAGTTGCCCTGCTGTTGGGCTGTAGACGTTGGCTCGGGGTAACTTTGTGCGCAGGCTGACAAATCTCCCCCCGGATAACGGCCCGATACCAGACGCTGAACCCTCGGAGCTAATACAAGCAAAGACCGAAAAGAGATAGGGAAAGATCGGTAGAGAGCAAAGAGAGAGGGAGAGAGAGAGAAAGAGAGACAGAGAGAGAGAGAGAGAGAGAGAGAGAGAGAGAGAGAGAGAGAGAGAATGAGGGAGGCGGAGAGACCTGAAATACGAAAAAAAAAAGGAATCCACTTCGCTCGGAATCTGTAGTGGTAATGAACACGGATTCACAAAAGAAAGGAGATGAACACAAGGGAACTCTGTCGAGCACTGGACAGTGAGCAACAACCACCTCGAGTTACCCAGCACCTCTAGTACAACCCCAAAGCAAACACTACGATCACTCAGCCTATAGGAAACCTACTAAAGAACGCCAAAAAACTCAACCTGCCCAAGATCCCAATGCTAACACCCAAAACGACCCCCTCCTCCTCCTCCTCTCTCCCACTCCTTCCACACCACTACACACCCACCCACTCAGTCTCGCCTATTTTCATTGTCAACGCAACAATATCTGGGGGAACAGCAGTGGTCTGTAATCCAATAAGACCATTGATTAGGCTACAATGATTCAATTCAAGCCAATGGTTGTGAGCAGGGAACAGGCTCGGACCCTTCTTGTCACCTTGCTGGGCCAGAGGCCCTCTTCATGCTGAACTCCCCCCTCCCGAAGCCATTCAGTCCTTTATGGGAAACGGAGAGCAAAAGGAGTGAAAGATGGCAATTATCTAATTGGACTATTAACAAACAATTCTGTGAGTGTGTCTGGTAGGGAGCAGAAGAGGATGGGGAGGGGGTACTGGACTAACTTCATTTAGCGAGTGTGTGGGGCAGCCTGTTGGAGAGAGGGAAAGGTTGTTTAAAGAAAAGATGAGAGGGAGGGATTGTTTAAAGAAAAGGTAAGAGGAGGCTACGAAAGGGGGCCGCAGGGGCAGCCGGATGATTCTACGCTGAGCTTGGGAAAAAGAGTTTGGTGGGACGTGCACCAGCTGTGGTCCGAGACGTCCCAGGTCAACAAAAGATGAAGATGTCCCGCATAAAGACTTGAGGACATAAACTGTCTCAGCACAGAGGCATCTTTAAATATTGCAAGCTTCTTTAGCCGGCATGCCCCATACAGTAACATCTAAAAATAACTAAATCTCTTAGGTTTGGGATGGAAGGTTACCTACCATGCAATAAGTCACTAAAATTATCTCTTCAGTTACTGATCTCTTGAGGTTCTAATAAACACCATTAAGTAATGAAGTACCTTGAAGAACTAGTATGCACCATTTTGTAAAATCATTTTTGTCTTTTTCATGATATGACAGTATTGACTGATAGAAATCACAGTTTAAAAGAGAATAAAAAGGCACCCCAAGTAAGGAATTGAACTCAAATGGCCTAAAGCAAAAAACTGATATAAACAAATATGTGAAAGCGCTGCCTCTGAAAGCAAACTTTTTTGAGTTTCTTTCTTCTGTTGAACACAAAAGAACCTGAAACCAGTAGACACTGACTTCGATTGTACTTTTTTGTTGTTGGCTACCCAAGATTCTTCAAAAATCTTTTGTTTTCAAAAGAAAAAAGACCACTTGTAGGTGAGTATAAATATATAATCTCTCAAAAAAGGTTTTTTCTAGTTTACTATAGAATACTTCTTTAAAAAAAAAAAAAAAAAAACAGAAACTATACTTTGTATATCCTTCTCTGAAATGTACATATGTACTGCTCAATAATACTTATTATTGCCCTAAAGTATACTTGGCTTTTACTAACAGAAAATTTTTAGTATATTTGGCTAATGTTTGTTCATTGATATATAATTAAAAGTATAATTACATATTATAAGTATACTTGGTCTGCAGTTGTTTTTATTATTTTGATTAAGTGGCCTATTCGTTTTTATTCATTATATTACTATCTATCTATCTATCTATCTATCTATCTATCTATCTATCTATCTATCTATCTATCTATCTATCTATCTATCTATCTATCTATCTATCTATCTATCTATCTGTCTGTCTGTCTGTCTGTCTGTCTGTCTGTCTGTCTGTCTGTCTGTCTGTCTGTCTGTCTGTCTGTCTGTCTGTCTGTCTGTCTGTCTGTCTATCATCTAACTATCTATCTATCTAAAAATACTTATTTTGCAACACAAATAAGCTTGAATCTTGACTAGTTGTGTACCTAAAGTGTACTGCTGTTACATTTAGAATACCTTTAAAATATTATATATGATAATTTATTCCCAAGAGGTGTTCAAGCAGTATACTTACAATAATAGTTCTAGTACTAAACGTACAGTTTTTCTCAGTGGCTTTAGTGCATTTCTCACAACACTATTTACATTTGCACAACAGTAAATGCATTTCTCAAAACAATTCCTGCAAAACCACGTCACTTGCTCTAAATGGATAGCTCATTCCTCAAAAGCAAGTATTTATGTCAATCAAAGTGTCAGTGTCATCAAGATGAAAAGTCCTGACACCTTTGTTTATGAACAAGATTTTTCATTATGACAGTTTACTCTGTAAATTTTTTCCAATGCAAGACTTTGGAAACAATTTGCACAGCCAATTGAAAATTACAGTAAAGTTAGATATCACTGAATTTAGTAAGATATCTAGGTACAAGACACTGAATATGTATGTTTCACAATTTTACTGCATATGCTATGTGCAATTCTAATTTATTCACAGCATTGTGCAAAAGAATAAATACACCTTTATTTACAACATAAACTTCCTTTGGGTAGAGCTGCGCACAACTGTAAACAATATTGCAGTACATATTGGAACTGAACCTAAAATATTCATAGGTATGTAAATCATTCATAAAATTGTTCAATTTAGAAAATATTTTCAGGAAAAAAGTTCTAAAAATGCTTATAAAATTAGCTTGACAGATTTTGACAACTAGTTCAACATTTTGTATGTGATAACTCAAGTAATGAAATGAGGTTATTAGTTTTATATGGACTGACTATTCAGCATTCACAAGTGTAGTTAATTTTGACTGACATGACATAAGCGAATGATAATCTTATAAAACAGCAGAGAGCTGTATGAAAGCAATTGATGCATGTCCAAAAGCATTTGCAATTTGTTGGAAGGAATAAGAAACTGCTACTATGATGTGCACAAATGACTAATTGTTTTGAGAAATGCATTAACTGTTGTGCAAATGTAAATAGTGTTGTGAGAAATGCACCAACGCGATGGAGAAAAACTGTAATACATGAAGTATATGCTTTAAATATAATCCATTCTACGTTGTTTAAGTACTTAATCAAATTAATTTGAAGCATTTTTACAAACGTTAGCCATCCGTTTTCCAACATAGCAGATCAAACATATGTTTATGCTGGTGTGTTTATGTATAAGCACAAATGTCTATACTGGTGCAATAACTAGATGGCCACCTAACCAGTGTAAACCAACATGGACTAGTATGCAAGTTAAATTCTTATTTAGTCTGTGCCAATAATAGAAACCAATGGCAGAAACTTTGTGCTGTGGATTTTATGTTTGTTTTTATTAACAAGTGGAGTGTAATGAGGGTTGATGTACTATTGGGCAATGGGATTGGACTAAAAAGCAGGTCTTTGAGAGCCAGCAGAACTTGCATGCATCTGACATGTCAGAAAACATTTGACCCTGTACTCACGTAAATTACTCATCAATCTTTTGATAAATACTAATTTTGCAAGCATTTGAATATGAAAGACAAAAATTCCACAGATTTGACAGGGTCTAAAGCCTCACGGCACAACCATTTGTTTAGGAAATTGTTGTCCTGACCTTCACTTTAGTCACTTCTGTCATAACAAAAGCAAACAAAACATTGTGAAATGCTAATATTTTGAATATAACATATTTTTGGCTTTCATCAAGTTTTTTCGTTGTTGATATTTCTATATGAAAGTTATTCAGATATTCTCAAATAAAGTATCTGTGAAGATCTCAAAACAATGTTAGTGCCATTTCCTCTTCCTCTCTGTATGTCACTATTGTGCCAGTACTGGTAAAGCCTCCAATCAGATGGTAAGTAAAGCTCACAGTGTCAGAATGACAAAACTCACCCACCTCATTTATTTACAGACAACAAAACACTTCAGCGTCAAAAGAGAAGAGGGACAAAGGGGAGATGGGCGGAAACACACACAGATAGAGACAAAAAGACAGATGGTGAGACATATCAATAGATAAATAAGAAACAAGGCACGACATGACAATACCTGTAAATGTGAAAGGTACATTTGGTGCAGCTCCTTTGAGACTGGGTGATGCATTTGGGAAACACAGCTCTCAGAATGCCAAGTTTTTAAACACCGCCTGTGGATTTTGAAAAAAACATAACAGGTGTGCATAAGAAGAATGGCAAATTCCAGGACTGTAATCACTTGAATAAATACAGAACACCTGCTTCATAAAATATCTGTAGATGCTATAAATGTCTAAAACTATTTGAACTCCGAATTTTCAACATTCATAAAATTTCATAATTATTTAAAATAAAAAAGAATAACAATAAGTCTAAAAATACGAAAAGCACTTTTTCCCTCCAAGTATGATAATTAAA